CGGAATCTATTGGCACTTTATAAATACCAGTAATAAATAAATAATCTTCTATTGTATGTCAGTGATCACAAGGGAGCACTAGCAAAGGTTTTCATCTCTAAAGAAAAATCTGTGCTGAATCGGGATGCCGGTCAATCATTCAGGCCACCCCACTGAGGCCATGCAGAGAGCACTGTTTCAGTACTTAGAGTCTAGTCCCCTGCCCTGGTGATCTATTGTGGGATCGCTGTGGTCTGCACTAGTATCGAGTGCAGAAAACTTCGAGAGCCAACCCACAGTTCTGGCACTCACTCAATTACTCTTTTGCTGGCTACAGAACTAGGAGGCATCGAGAACTGCCAGAAAACTGCGAGGGAGTGTTGAAAGTGACCTCCACCCAATATTTGTGTAGTCCACAATGTTTTCTCAATGTTAGAAGCTTGCACAGGGCCAAGATCTGTCGATATTCCTGCTGGCTCAAGGAGGGCAGAGCTGGAGCTCCTGGACCAGACAGGGGTCCAGTAGGTCTCTGCCGGGCCTATGCCAGAGGCAGCTTCTTTTGCAGCCTAATGGGTGATATGGTTCTGCCATTCTCTCTCAGTTGCATATAAAGTTAGTGAAAACCACAGAGTATGAACCACAGATCAACTGCAACAGTTTGACCTCTGCAGAGATGAGGAAATGGGAGAGAGGTTTTTGCATTACACAAAAATGTATTAAGCCAATAAGGATTACAAAATCAAACTAACTTATCCCATCAATATGACCACAAACTGTCCTCTGTCTGTTGAGTAACAGTTTGAGAGACAATGCTCCAGTGAATGCATTAAACAGGTCTTTGTATTAGCTGGGGGACAAGATAGAAGCTTGTTTGGATGCGCCAACGTTCTAACCCCAGCCCCTAGCACAGGCGGACTGCTGTAACTACTCACTAAACCAACAGACTTTATAAGGAGTTTAATAATTGTGTAATAAGTAAATCATTACATTGCTGAATAGTCAGATACAAATGCCGCACAATCAGTTATAGTTACCAGGGCCGTCTTTAACGCGGGGCAAACGGGGCAGCTGCCCCGGGCCCAGTTGCTCCTGGGGGCCCAGAGCAGCTGCTCTGTGGGCCCCGCGATTTGTGCAGCCCCTATGGACCGGGCGGTGCGGCTCCCGCACACTGAGGAGGCTCCCCGGGTGGCCCATGCACTAAGGCCACCCGGGGAGCATGTGTCAGCAGGGGCCCGGTCGGGCGCTGTGGCGCTTAAACAGCGCGACCGGGCCCCTCTTCCGGTTCTGCAGCCGGCTGGGAGGAAGTGACGTCACTTCCTCCCACCGGAGATAATGGCCGCGCGGAGGAGGAAGGCAGGGAGGAGGGGAGTTCCAGAGGAGAACTCCCATCTGCCTCAGCCTGCCACTGGACCAGGGAAACCACCCTCCAGGAAAAGGTAAGAACCTGGAGGGTGGCTAAATGTATGTCAGTAGGTCAGTGTGTGTGTGTGTGTGTGTGTGTGTGTCAGTATGTCTGTGTGTGTATGCCAGTATGTCTGTGTGTATGCCAGTATGTCTGTGTGTATGCCAGTATGTCTGTGTGTGTGTGTGTGTCAGTATGTCTGTGTGTGTATGCCAGTATGTCTGTGTGTGTGTGTATGCGAGTATGTCTGTGTGTGTATGTCCGTGTGTGTGTGTGTCAGTATGTCTGCGTGTATGCCAGTATGTCTGCGTGTATGCCAGTATGTCTGTGTGTGTGTGTACGTGTGTGTCAGTGTATGTGTGTGTCAGTATGTATCTGTGAATGTTTTAATGTCTGTCTGTGTGTATGTGCCAGTCTGTCTGTGTGTATGTCAGTATGTCTGTGTGTGGGTGTCAGCATGTCTTTGTGTGTCAGTATGTCTGTGTGTGTATGTAAGTATGTGTGTGTATGTGTGTGTCAGTCAGTATGTCTGTCAGTGTATGTGTCTGTGTGTGTATGTATGTATGTCTGTGTGTGTGTGTGTGTGTGTCAGTATGTCTGCCAGGATATATTTGTATGTCAGTGTATGTGTGTGTCAGTATATATCTGTGAATGTTTAATGTCTGTCTGTATCAGCCATTACGTCTGTCTGTGTATATGTCAGTATGCCTGTGTGTATATGTCAGTATGCCTGTGTGTGTGTGTGTCAATGTGTCTGTCAGTGTATGTGTCTGTGTTTTAGTATATCTGTCAGTGTATGTGTTTGTGTGTGTGTCAGTATATCTGTTAATGTATGTGTCTGTGTATGTATGTATGTCTGTGTGTGTGTCAGTATGTCTGCCAGTATATATTTGTGTGTAGTGACTTTGTGTGTCAGTATGTATCTGTGAATGTTTTAATGTCTGTCTGTGTGTGTATGTGCCAGTACGTCTGTCAGTGTGATTGCGGGTTGGACGTAATTGGGGGGTGAGGCAGTGGCAGGGACAGGGCCCATGGGGCCCAAGAAAATGCATTGCCCAGGGTCCTAATCATATTATAGACGGCCCTGATAGTTACATGCAAAAATTAAAACCTGTTTTGCCAGTAACTCTATCACACCATCATTTCACAATACTTTATCCGTGTTTGTCAAACTATACTGTATATCCCAGACACTTAAAGGAAGCTATTACGTATCTGTACATAGTACTATTGATCATAACATTGAATATAACATATTCCTTTTTATTTATGTGACATTCCGTTTTCTTTTAGATTTATGTAAAATATTTAGCAATTAAAATCATAATCCAGTTCAGTCCTGGCACAGTCATGCGCTGAAGTTAGAGAATCTGAAACATTGTTACTCTTTCCCTTCCACTTACTTTATCAATAATTGTGAGGGGCGGAGCTTATAATGATGCTTGACAGTGAGACAATATGGAGGCGTGCAGTTCCAGGATAGAAGCATATACAGCAGTGTGGATTTTTATAATTTATTTTATTTTTCACACTTCACAAACACATATGTGTTAAATATAAGGGATACATACATGTTATATTAAAAATTCTATAAAGTGAAAATTTCCCTTTAAATGTATTCTTTGCAGCAGTCAACACAACACCCCTAGGCGGTGAACTCTCAATCTGCACTGCCCTAACTTTTCCTAATTTGTTGCAAATGAAACCTAATACCTTCAGCAACTTAATTTAAAATACTGGCTGTGTGTGAGTTTTATATAATGTGAGATGACTTTTGCATTCTTAAATTGCCACAATCCATTAATTGTTGCAAATATATTGGGTTTAACATATTCTGGCCCGTTTCTATCCTGATAATAATACAATCCTTTTCATCTCCTTGAATTCTTTCTAACTCTTTTAAGAATTGAATCTACACACGTGTCCCACTTCCGCAAACACAGGCAGTGCTATTCTCTGCCAACTGCCAAAATATTTGAGAAAGGAGAATTTTTCATTATGAGCCAACATGATCAAACTGGATTGGGTTTTCCAATTAAATAGTTTCGGTCTAAAAGCTATTCACTTTGGATTTACTTTGAACTCCAGACAACTCAAACTTTATAGAATAAATCTGTGACATTGTGAAGTTTAACAATGTAGGCCAATGAAATTTCCCACTTGGGGAACACTTTGTCCAACTCAGACACTTTATTGAACCATAGCACAGCTCAGCCCTTTATATTACACAAAACATTATTTACTTTGAACTCCAGACAACTCAAACTTTATAGAATAAATCTGTGACATTGTGAAGTTTAACAATGTAGGCCAATGAAATTTCCCACTTGGGGAACACTTTGTCCAACTCAGACACTTTATTGAACCATAGCACAGCTCAGCCCTTTATATTACACAAAACATTATTTGACGTGTAAACATGCAAATTTACTCTTACAAAATGTAGGTGGAAGTACAAATTTTGTTACGAAAGTAAATATCCACAAATATAGGCCTGTATGCTTCAATGCTAGAGTTGAGCGGACACCTGGATGTTCACATCCGGCGTGTTCGGCCGAACTTTGAAAAAAAAGTCCGGATTCGGGCTCGAACTTGAATCCGAACTTGACCCCGTACTCCACTGAAGTCAATGGGGACCTGAACTTTTGGGCACAAAAATGCCTCTAAAAAATTTCTGGAAAGGGCTAGAGAGCTGTAAAAGGAAGTAAAATGGGGGGTAAGAGTAGGACAAGTGCCCTGCAAACAAATGTGGATAGGGAAATCACTTAAAAATAACATAAAAATTAAAAATACAGCTGAGCCATAAAATAGCACTAGATGGAATCTTTGATTTTAGCTTTGGAAGAACATATATCAAAATCTAAAGCATGGCTGTCAGGAGGATCACCAGAATTATCCATTTGAGAGAGGGTTGGAGTGCAGGGTATTCTCTTTCATTGTTCAAACTGAGCTCAACTCCTGATGCATGGAGAAAAGGCCTTCACAAGCCTCTGCTAATGTGTACATAGTTTATACTAAGTGACCCATAGGTTGAGGAGGCGGTGACCATGGCGGTGTAGGTGGAAGCAGTGGTGGAGGAGGAGGAGGTAGCCAACACTGTTTTATATATATATATATATATATATATATATATTTTATTTTTTTAATTAGGGTAGCCCCCAAAATATTGGGACATATAAAAAAAGAAACATTTGCGGCCTGCGGTGCATTTCTTGCAGTCCTGATGCATGGAGAAATGCTCAACTCCTGATGCATGGAGAAAAGGCCTTCACAAGCCTCTGCTATTGTGTACATAGTTTATACTAAGTGACCCATAGGTTGAGGAGGCGGTGACCGTGGTGGTGTAGGTGGAAGCGGCCATGGAGGAGAAGGATTAGGTAGCCAACACTGTTTTTTTTTATATATATATATATAAAATATTGATAAAAGTCCTTCGGGGACTGAAACGTCGACTAGATCGCTTTGTATACTTTACACGTTTTGTAATAAACCAAGTATATTTTTTCTAAGAAGACCTCTGGAGTTTTTTATTTATATTATTTTTATATATATATATATATATATATATATATATATATATATAAAAATTTATTTTTTTTTAAATTGGGGTAGCCCCCAAAATATTGGGACATATAAAAAAAAAGACAACTCTGTTCCATAGAGTAGCTGTTGACATTATAGTTGCGCAGGCACTTTGTTGACTCTAGAGAACCTCGGGCCAATCGCACATCCCTGTGACGGCGACTTTGCATTCGGATGTCATCCATATCAACTTTCGATGCCAGTTTATGCGCCTACCATGGTGACCACGGGTAACGGGGAATCAGGGTGCCATTCCATACAGTGACCCTGAGAAACGGCTACCACATGCAAGGAAGGCAGCAGGCGCGCAAATAACCCACTCCCGACGCTGGATGGTAGTGACGAAAAATAACAATACAGGACTCTTTAAAGGCCCTGTAATTGTAATGAGTCCACTTGAAATCCTTTAACTCTGCTCAATTGGATCCCTCCTGGTCTGGTGTAGAGCCACTGATCCTTGCGTGCTGCAACTGAAACTCCACTATTACCTGCTGCTGCTCGCACAGTCTCATGAGGTGGTGAGTGGGAAGGCCGAAGTTACGCTGCAGCGCAGACAGGCGAGCAGCAGCAGGGTGAGAATACCAAAAGCGCGCACAGACTGCCTGCACTTTCTGCATATCTGGAAATACACCGTGGCATCACAAGAGCCACCCAGAACTGGCTCAACTCCCATCAAACCAAGTTCCTGGAGGAGATCACCCAGCTCGTCATGGAGATCACCCAGCGCACATTGCTGCTACAGTGAATGTCACATCCTGCTCCAAGATGTGGCTCAGTCTGATGATGGCTTCTGGTATCCAGTACTCTTTTTACTGAAGCTGCATCAGGGTCCTGGTATGTGGCCGCACAAATGCTGGTGCTCAACACCAGGGGACGTGCGGTTACCTTGCACCACACCCTGCTAATCCATTCCACACTGTGACTCCTAACTTCAACATCAGGCATACTGGGTCCTGGTCGTCCAACCGCCGCCCAGACAGTGTCTGGGTCCCGGTCACCGGACTGCCCATCTGACTGTGAAACTACGAATGGATTGTTAAACTCTATTATGGATCCTTTGATCGCTACATGTATTACTTGGATAACTGGTAATTCTCGAGCTATTACATCCCGACGAGCACTAGGGGATGGCCGCTTCGCTATTGCACCCTGCTCCCTCTTATGCTGTGCTGGTGCCTCTCTGCGACCAGCGCCAATTCCTCCAAACTGCACACGTCACTCACATGACTTTGATTCCATGTGGGGTCTAGGACCTCATCATCCTCCACATAATCTTCCACCCACTCCTCAACCCTGCCCTCCTTGCCGGTATGCACACTGCAGAAAGCCACAGCAGTTGGCACCTGTGTTTTTCCAGCATGTAAAGTCTCTAAAGGACATATGGAAATTGTTTTAGAATTTCACCCAGGCAACAGTTTACCCTATAAACTGACCTCTCAGTTTGACTTGCCCCAGAATTACAATATTGTTGAAGTACCTCTTAGCTATTGATAACTGGTTTAAATATAGCAGCTTGTTATCTGGTAGTTTCTAGTGTAGAAAATATCAATCTTTTTTTATATCACTTAGATTTGTGTAACAAGTGTTGTAGGTGTAAAACAATATTACAAGTGACCGATGTAGTAAATTTGAATCAAAGTTACGCTTCGATTTGACTCTCAGATATGAAGTGCACCGCAGGCCGCAAATGTACTATTTAGCAGATAAGCACCAAAACAATTAGAATGTTTAAAGCCTGAGCAGCAAGCGCACTATTAGATGCTTCTATTTGACTCTCAGATGTGAAGAGCTCCCCCAAAATGTACTATTTAGCAGATTAGCAGCAAAACAATTAGAATTTTTAAACCTGCGCAGCAAGCGCACTATTAGATGCTTCAATTGGACTCTCAGATATGAAGAGCACCCCCAAAATGACTATTTAGCAGATTAGCAGCAAAACAATTAGAATTTTTACAACTGCGCAGTAAGCGCACAATTTTACGCTTTTATTTGACTCTCAGAAATGAAGTGCACCGCAGGTCGCAAATGTACTATTTAGCAGATTAGCAGCAAAACAATTAGAATGTTTACAAGTGCACTATAAGTGCTTCGGTTTGACTCTAAGATATGAAGAACAGGCCCCAAAATGTACTATTTAGCAGATTAGCAGCAAAACAATTTGAATGTTTACAACTGCGCAGTAAACGCACAATTTGACGCTTCTATTTGACTCTCAGATATGAAGTGCACCGCAGGTCGCAAATGTACTATTTAGCAGATTAGCAGCAAAACAATTAGAATGTTTACAAGTGCGCAGTAAGCGCACTATTAGACGCTTCTATTTGACTCTCAGATATGAAGAGTAGGCCCTAAAATGTACTATTTAGCAGATTAGCACCCAAAAAGTTTTAAAACTGCAATGTGACAGCAGTATTTGACGCTTCTAAAAGTGCACCCCACTAATGTACTATTTAGCACCAAAAAAAAATTACTTTTTAAAACTCAGATGTAACCGCGGTATTTGATTCTTCTATTTGACTCTCAGATATGAAGTGCACCCCACTAATGTACTAGTTTGCAGAATACGTTCCTAAGATGTCCCTCACAGCGGCAGCATCCTCATGCTCAGCAATAAGACCTCATGTGCGCGCGGCGCTACGCGGCGCTCCAGCTTATATATAGAGCCTGGGTCACATGCTGCACTGGCCAATCACAGCCATGCCATTAGTAGGCATGGCTGTGATGGCTTCTAAGGGCACACGAGTCAAACGCTTGTTGATTGGCTGGCCTGCAGCCTTTCAAAATGCCCCATTAAAACACCGAACTCCAACCTGAACATACAGTGATATGTCCGTGTTCGGATCCGGGGTCCAAAAAACGTAATGTTCGGTACGAACCTGAACTTTACATCAAGTTATAATTCCCTGTTCTAAAAAAAATAAAAAATAAATGTATAGCACAAAATTTGACCCGTGTAACTCCCAACAGTTAAAAGAGACGTGTTTACAAACTCACCGATCCCTATGGTGAAATTCTCATTGCTAAATACCGGAAATTCCGTTATTGGCATACAATCGTGGCTGCCTATTTAAAGTCGAGAGGCTTGTTGGATTTTACACAGTGCATTCTATCTGTTCTGGAGATATCACAAAAATCAGAGACAGGAAGATTCACAATGAGAAGCAGCTCATGGACATCACTAAGTGTCCTCATATCGCTGGCCACCATGATGTGTTATGCTGAAGACACCTGTCCAGGTGAGCTCTGAATGACCCCTCATCCTAATCTGTTATTTTATTTATTTACTGAGTGGAGAAAGGCAATAGGGGTTAATTCAAATCTGTAGTGAGCTGTGATTAGCTGACAGCTGACTACAAATTTAAAACAGGATAAAAGATTTACCTCAAATGGTGATTTTTTTTTGCTCTAACATTTTATATATTTTACTAAAAGTTTACAATACTTTGTAAAGAAAGTTATTTATTTTGCTACTATGACAACATGTATTTATTTTTATTTATTTATAAAATATTTTACCAGGAAGGAAACAATGAGATTGCTCTCATTTTCAGCTATCTCCTGGGTCCACAAAACATTGCATTGATACAATTGGTACAATAAAATACTAAAACAATATTAATACACAACATTTAGTCAACCATATTCTGTTTTGAGATTTGTAGAGAGGGATTTCTTAAAGTATTTTAGGCCTGGGGAAGATTTGGAAGTGTGCGGTAGGTCGTTCCACAATTGCGTTGCTCTGTAGGAAAAGGAGGATCGGGCTGCTTTCTTTTTGTATTGAGGTAGACTAAATAAAGTGCTGGTACTCTATCGGAGGTTATAGGAGGTGGGAACAACCGGGGAGAGCATTCTGCTCAGGTAGGGTTAGAGCTTCCCAGAAAAGCTCTTAAACACAAGGCTGGACAGATGGTGGGTCCTGTAATTACATTGTAGCACAAAGCAGCAGAACGAATTATGCAATGTATTAAGTTTATTAGGATGGTTTGTGATGCAGATGCATATACTACATCCCCATAATCAATTATTGGCATTAGCATTTGCTGTACAATCTTTTCCTTTACTGTAGGGCTTAGGCAGGATTTGTTTCTGTACAGGGCACCTAGTTTTGGATAAAGTTTAGATGCAAGCTTTTCTATGTGGAGGCCAAAAGATAGATTGGGGTCTAACAACATACCCAGGTATTTGAAAGAGTGTAGAAAAGGGTACTAGTGGTGGAGCGCTGATTAAAGTGAGTAGAGATAAGAATAGGGTATAATAATAGAAAACATAACTACCTATGCAATACTATAACATAATAACTTTTAAAACCTTCTTCTCTAAACAGTAGTATATATCTATTCAAAAAAATAATACCATATATCCTAATAAAATATACAAAAGGGTAAAAAGAACCCAAAAATGGTGAAAAATAAAGACGCGTTTCTCCACTTCGGCGGCTTATTGAATGGATCTTGATCAATGGATCCATTGATAAAGCCGCCGAAGCGGAGAAACGCGTCTGGAGAGGTCTGACTCACATTAATAACAGACATCATCCAAACCACACAGAAGAGAACAATTTGGAATCTTTGCAGCTCTAACATCTAGCTGACTCAGAACGCCCAGAATTTCCGGTAAGGTCTGGACTCTTTTTGGGGCTTTTTTTTGTGATTTTTTTGAAAAACTGGATATTTACTGCATATGGAAAGCTTTTTATGTATTTTTTTATATATATATTTTTAACAATATTGGAATACATTTGAACTTTTTAACCTAAATGTGTCATATAAGGAGTTCAGAATTGATACCCTTTATTTCTGTTTTATATACACGTGGACCATCATGATGGAGTGAACAACTTAGGATACTTATTTGGCCAACCAAATTGGACTTTTATTTATTTTTCACCATTTTTGGGTTCTTTTTACCCTGCAAAGACTTTTTTACCTTTTGTATATTTTATTAGGATATATGGTATTGTTTCTTGAAGAGATCTATACTACTGTTTAGAGAAGAAGGGTTTAAAAGTTATTCTGTTAATTGAAAGAGTGGACTGGGGTCAGTGTGCCATTTGATTTTGTTTTGATGGATAGGTGGAAATTGTGTAATTTGTGTAATTTAAGTCCTGTTCCAAAGATCATTGTGACAGTTTTGTCAGTGTTTAGGAAGAGTTTGTTTTTTGCGATCCATTTTTCTACTTCTTTAAACTGGTCTTGGATCACAGCCTCAAGCTGCAGTAGATGGGATTTGCTTGCATAGATTACTGATTCGTCTGCGTACATGTGTACATGACTCCTTATAAGATTTCTAGAACTTTCCACATATTTACAATTATAAGGCGGGAGCAGGGTTCCATCAATTAT